TTTTTATTTCCTAAAAGGTAACTCTAAAATTTCAGAATATTCTTTCAGTTTAAAAAGTTCCTCAAGATAAACAGTATTTGTGAACCTCCTGCTCTGAAAATGAAGAACCTTGTACTCCTTCTTAACTTTCCCGGACAGCACTCGATATATTTCTGCTAAATCTAATTATTACGATCAAGTCACACATTTGCCTTATTATGTAACTGTAATTCTCAAAGTTTTGCTTTGAGAATTTTTATTTTCACTTAACTTTTAGTTTGTTGGATTTTGTTGTTGGATGGATTTTTCAAAAAGATATCAGGATGATTCGATTTCATGAATGCTCACTTTCAAGCCTGTTCTTCTCCTCCTTACATTTTAAGTGCATTAGTGGGCGCAGAATTGCCCCTTCTTCCCTCAGAGCTGCCCACACAGAGCTTCATTGTGCCCGGGGCTGAGCCCTGCCACAGGGGAGCCGGAGGCCAGGCTGGCTCTGCACCCTCCTGCCTGTCCTTGTGCTCCTGGGAGATTTTCTTTTTTGGCATCACGAGCTTTTTAAAGAGCTTTTAGCTTACTTTGGAATATATCAAGGCATTAAGTGCTGTTTATCAAATTTTCCTGGGAAAGTTTTCTAGTACTTTAAATCCTCTCTTTTTATTTATTTTTTGACATTAAATCTCTCACCATCTTCTTTTACTCTTTTTTTCTTTAAGAATAATAATTTGTTACTAAAAGTGAGCTGCTCTTTTTATATTAAATCTCCTCTCTTCGTATTCCCTCCTGGTAATAATCTGCCTAACAATTTCCATCGTTCTCCATTTTATTCTCAAGTCTGCCTTTGAATACTCGATTGTTGTTTCACTCTTGGTTGCATCTTCATGATCATTATCTCCGGAAGGACTTGATTATTCCCCTGGCTTTGCCTTCCCGCTCAGCTTCACGTACTGGCAGTTTTTGTTCCTTTTCCTGCTGTCTTCTGACTCCCTGCTCTGCCTCTTGCATGTGTCAGTCCCCATCTTTCATCTCTTCAGCAGTGGGAGGAAATTCTGATGATGTTTCATCATCCACCCTCCGTGGTGTTGAGGCGTTGAGAGCAGCTGCGAGATAGGAGGTGAGGCGGGGAAGGGCATTTCAAGAAGAAAAGACAGTGGGCACAATAGACTTGGGCGGAGTGTGTGGGGCCATTGCTGACTTGAAAGGGGACCATGTGGCCATGTGGATAGACGGAGTTGGGGAGGTCAGTTGTGCATTGCGCTCAGGGCAAATGCACCGTGCTGTCAGTGCACTGGGTGAAGGCAGGCAGGGGAGGGTAAAGGCAGGCAGGGGAGGGTGAAGCAGGGCAGGGGAGGGTGAAGCGGGCAGGGGAGGGTGAAGCGGGGCAGGGGAGGGTGAAGCGGGGCAGGGGAGGGTGAAGCGGGCAGGGGAGGGTGAAGCGGGCAGAGGAGGGTGAAGCGGGCAGGGGAGGGTGAAGCGCGCAGGGGAGGGTGAAGCGGGGCAGGGGAGGGTGAAGCGGGCAGGGGAGGGTGAAGCGGGGCAGGGGAGGGTGAAGCGGGCAGGGGAGGGTGAAGCGGGCAGGGGAGGGTGAAGCGGGCAGGGGAGGGTGAAGCGGGGCAGGGGAGGGTGAAGCGGGGCAGGGGAGGGTGAAGCGGGCAGGGGAGGGTGAAGCGGGCAGGGGAGGGTGAAGCGGGGCAGGGGAGGGTGAAGCGGGGCAGGGGAGGGTGAAGCGGGGCAGGGGAGGGTGAAGCGGGGCAGGGGAGGGTGAAGCGGGGCAGGGGAGGGTGAAGCGGGCAGGGGAGGGTGAAGCGGGCAGGGGAGGGTGAAGCGGGGCAGGGGAGGGTGAAGCGGGGCAGGGGAGGGTGAAGCGGGGCAGGGGAGGGTGAAGCGGGGCAGGGGAGGGTGAAGCGGGGCGGGGGAGGGTGAAGCGGGGCGGGGGAGGGTGAAGCGGGGCGGGGGAGGGTGAAGCGGGGCGGGGGAGGGTGAAGCGGGGCGGGGGAGGGTGAAGCGGGCAGGGGAGGGTGAAGCGGGCAGGGGAGGGTGAAGCGGGGCAGGGGAGGGTGAAGCGGGCAGGGGAGGATGAAACGGGCAGGGGAGGGTGAAGCGGGCAGGGGAGGGTGAAGCGGGGCAGGGGAGGGTGAAGCGGGCAGGGGAGGGTGAAGCGGGGCAGGGGAGGGTGAAGCGGGCAGGGGAGGGTGAAGCGGGCAGGGGAGGGTGAAGCGGGCAGGGGAGGGTGAAGCGGGGCAGGGGAGGGTGAAGCGGGCAGGGGAGGGTGAAGCGGGCAGGGGAAGGTGAAGCGGGCAGGGGAGCGTGGAGCGGACACATTTTTACACTGCTTTTTCACGAGTGCTTACACATTCTCAGACATGGAAATATATCCCAATATGCGGCCAAGAGGAGAAGCAGATGCTAAGTCAGTGTGCGTTTATATCTCATTTTATTAAAAAATAATCACATTCAAGATGGAAAGTGGCATGTGCTAGTCTGAAAATCCATACAGAATAGTAATTACATTTATGTCTTGGTAACAATGACAGTGACTTTCTTACCTTTATTCTATCTCGTCTTTGTTTCTTCAAACTTGCCAAAAAAATTTTTTTTTCTGTCATACACATATTCTGGGGATATGTGTCAGCATTTATATCATCTTATTAATTTCTCCTTTTCTTTTAATCAGTGCATAGTAATTGTGCATGTTTATGAAGCACAGGGCGTGACAATTCAATATAGGTAAGTAATGTGCAATGATCATACAAGGACAAGCAGCATTTCGCTCACATCATTTCTGTATGATTGGGGCCATTAAACGCTCTTCTTCCTCTTCATAAAGTGTATCATAGGTTGTTGTGAACTAGAGCTTTGTTTTTAAAGAAACAGCTAGAGATTTAAGATGAGGAATGGATGGGAACGGATGAAGAGCAGACAATACAAGATTGAATGAGGAACCTTTCTATCATTCACATTACACATGGTGGCAGAGTAGGGCAGTGTTAAAAGTGGAAGGCAGGGCACAGAATATTATAGATGGAGGAAACCAGATGGACTGAGCAACTTTTGCATCCATAGCAACTTGCCTGGTAATAGCTGAAATGTTGAAAGTGTTCCAATGTGAACTGGCAGGAAAATTTAGATAGACATTGAGTGAAATACTGCGTGGTGATACAAGAAATAATCTATTAATACACCTAACAACAAAATAATCATGGTGAGTGAAAGAAGTCCAAAAAAGGGTCTGTACCGTATGATTCTGTTCCCGCAAATTCCAGAAAATGTGGACTAAGCTATTGCGACATACAACATGCCAGTGGCTGCTGGGGTGGGAATGTGGGGCGGGGAAGGGTGGAAGATGTGTCTTCTCTATTGTTTACCTATGAAAGTTGTGATTGGTGAGTTTTGCCTGCAGGAGATGTTTTACTCTTGCATTGTAAAGTTTATAAACATTCTTGTTTATGGTTCTTAAATTTTGTATCACAGTTGAGGGGGATTTCCCACCTTTAAGAACTCTGTCATGATGGTTTATAGTACGTTCATCAGTCTGTTTTCTGATGCTCTCACAAAATACGTGAGGGGGAATACTCTACAAGGAAAAAATACATATTTAGCTCACAGACTTGGAGGGTGGAAGTCCCAGATTAGGCAGCTCCATCTGTGTGGCCTCTGGAGAGCTGCCTTCCAGCATGGCAGACAGCGCCCCTGTAGGGTATGTGTGAGTGAGAAGACCCCCGAGTGAGAAGGGGAGCCACACAGCAGATGTCTCTGTTCCTGCTCTGTTTCACTTTCGTGAGGACTCATTCTGAGAATAGTAATACCTGCAGTGACCTAGTACCTCATACTAATAGATATCACCATCTTTTACATTGACACCAACCCTCTGGCACACCCACTCTTCAGGACATACTCCAAAATTATAGCGGCACATTCATAATTTCATTATTTGCACTGACATCTTGGATCCAATTGCAGATTTTCCTGGTGCAGAGTGGGAGGTGTTGACACAACTCCAGCTTGATTTTCGGATGGCTAGCACAATTCAGTATGTGAAAAAGCTTCAATATGGCAGTCCTAGAATATATTTGAATACTGACAAGAATCATCCAGCAGAGAGAGTAAAAGCTAAAAATCCCAGAACAAAACCCATGAGACGGTGAGATTGCACAGGAGCCAGCTGTGCAATAGATAAGGAAAGCTGACATGTATTGAGTCACTGTTATGTGCCAGTCAGTGTTGTAAGCACTTTACACAGATTGAGTAATTTAATTCTCTGAGCAGGGTGTTGTCCAGCCAGCGCAGCACTTGATTGGGAAACTCTGGAACAGGGTGCTGTGTTTCCCCATAACGGCCCTCGCGAGCTGAAGCTGAGAACGGGTAACCCAGAGTGAAGCTGTGTGCAGACCTCCCCACCTCCCCGGAGGCTCGTTCCTATCCCATCCAGCGTGGAGGGCCACTTGCACAGGCTCACTCTTCCCCTAACGCTTCCCCCTGAGCCCCACCGCTTCTGCATTTGCAGCTCTCCCAACCTCTTTCCTCCCTGTGCTCTTCGGTGGCACACATTTCCCCACCTGGTGAGTAAAGAAATTCAGAACTTGCTTTGCCAGTCGCTGTAAGGGGCCCTGGCTTTCTGTGAGCAGCTTTCCACGGACCTTGACCTGGGGTCCGGGATTACTACCATTTTTTTTTTTATTTTAAAGAGATAAGAAAAAAAAACCCATAAAAATGGTGATACAGAATTTCAAAACAAGATAACAGGAAATTAACAATGGTCAATATATTGCATAGTATTATCTTTAGGGTCAATGCATCCAGATTACAAGACACGGGCATGCAAAATTGATCAGACAATGTAAGTACAAATCATCCTTTTCAATGAATTGAAAGAAATTAGTAGTATAATTATCTTAGCTATATTGTACATGTATATATATATACTTTTTGTATATATGTGTATATATATATATATATATATATATATATACATACACACACATACATATATTTATACATTTACTTTTTCTTTCCCTTCCTTTTTTTCTCCTTGTCCCCATTCCAATTGTTCTCTCCTTTTGGGCAGTTTCTTCCCCTTTCGCTGTCTCTCATATATTTTGAATAATAGAAACTCCTTTGAGTTCTCATTTGGCTTTTGAGGAAGCTGAAAGACTTTCTCATGATCAGGTGCAAAGCAGCAGTGCTGGGACTTCAATTTTGGTAGCCTAACGCCCTGAGCTTCTAGCTCTATGTTGAAATGGTAGGAAAGGGGACGGTGAACGTTACAATTGGGATGTATCTACCACATACCCCTTGTTAGAGACGCACTCTCCAGCTGCACAGTGTGGAGAGGCAGGCCTTCAGGCGGGTGCTTCGGTAAGGAGGGCTCAGTCCTCAGAAGTGGACTTGCCATTATGGATGGCTCGGCAGGGGAGTGTGGTCTTCTTGCTCTTCTGTCTTCTGCCGTGTGAGACACAGCGTTCTTCCTCTTAGGCGGGCACAGCGTATAAAACACCACCCTGGAAGCAAAAGAACAGCCCGCCAGACCCGATCTTGCACCTCCTCGCATCTAAACCATAAGAAGCACTACATTTTCCCTAGCTCTCGTCGGTGTCAGATTTGGTGTCTGGCTAGGCCTGCTTCCCTGGTCATAGACAGCCATTGGCCCCTGCCTACTAAGGTGGCCTAAGGGGTGAAGGAGTTCTCTGGGGTCTCTAATGGGGGCACAAACTCCATGCTGCATGCCTCGTCATTTTGCCTGGGCCTTACCCCTCCACACCATCACTCTGGGGGTTAGGGCCTCAACACATGGCCTGTGATGGCGGGGAGGGTCGCAGACATTTGGTCCGCGGCAGACACTCATTGGCCTGACCTTTTCTAGCAGTGGTCCACGGCCTCTGTGTGTCCACTCACCTCATGGCTCTCTAAAGAAGCCTTCAATCTACAGAAGTGGACGACTGGACAAAGACAGAGTGACTAAAGGAGAAACCACGAAGAGGACAGCTGGACACCGAGCAACAAAGCTACGTGTGATTTTCTTTGAACTTGGCTTTGGGTTTAGGGCGGATGTGAACCTGAGGCTGCCCATTATCTGGGGCAAGGAGCAGTATGATTTTATTTGCCCACACTTGGCTCCAATTGTCTGGAATTAGTAAGTTACTATCACCACTTTTCCCTCTGTGTTAGTGTCCTAGATGCCAGTGGTGTTTGGTTGCATCAGACGGTGATCTTTATGTAGAGATGGCTCTGCTTAGATCTCTTTATCAGCTGTAGAAGGGTTGGCTAGGTTTCTGGGAGCTACTCCCGGTGAGCTGCCAATACTGGCCTTGATTCTGGATGCAAGTCAGTGATAGAGAGCTTGCCTAGTTTGTGTGGGATTCAATTCCCAGCACTGAAAAAAAATAAATACAACCATCAAAAACCGCAACAGATGACCAACTGATGAAGTTACACAAGCTGAGTGCTTCTTCGTAAATACTGCAGCAAGCCTGATGATAGGGTAGGTCCTGGGTTAGAGATAGCAGTTCTTCCTAAACCCTGGGCATCAAAGCAGGGCACACGCTTCTGTCTCTCGGCTGACCTTTGAAGGGGCTGGCTATCTTTATGTGAACTGTGTGTCCAGTGACTGCTGAATGGATTAGTGAAGGAGAGAGGATGTCACAGTGTCCTTCTCGTGCTGTCCTCCTGACCTAGGACATTTCCGCTCGTAAGATGACTACACCCCAATCGAAGGCCCTTCTGCCTCTGTGAAACTTTTTTTTTTTTTTGCCTCATTCTTGCTCACAGTTAACTTTTTCCTTTTCAGTGTCTGTAGTCCAGGTGGCTCGAGCTATATTACCAGCATACACCGCCTAACGTTTTGCATCAGTACCCTTCTCCTCATCTGAAGAGAGAACAGAGGTCTCCGGGGCTTCCCCTCCAGCCAGTGTGCACATCTTCAGCTGTGCGGATTGCAGCTTTCACCTGTCCTCCTAATACCCACAGCTGCTGTTATGTTCTGTACATGTCATGCTGCCCTTGGAACACCTGCTGATTTGATTTGTCTTTAGAAAAAAGCTGAGGGCTTCCTGTTGACATAGACCGGAGAAAGAATTGCAGCGACTTCTCTGCCTGACTCTCCAGCCCCGAAAACATCTGCTCCCTGCTGTATAAGGCGTGTTACAGCGCGCTGTTCTCCCAAGGTGAAAGCGAGACCTCAGTTAAGATGTCTTCCCACGGCAGCACCATGAAACCAGTGAATTCTGTAAATGCCATTTTCCTGTCAGTGCTAAATAAAAACTCTCACTATCTAGATATTCAGATCTGGTGTTAGTGAGCCAGAACCATACAGCAACCTAGCTTCCTCTGAGGGAGAGTTTGCTTTTTCAACTCTAGTTTTAAAACTTGTTATCTGGTATTCCATGGCAGCAGCACTGATGAGACATTCAGAAGACACACACTGTGGCCCGGCGTGGTGGCACATGCTTGTAATCCCAGCACATGGGAGGCTGAGGCAGGAGGATCGCCATGAGTTTGAGGCCAGCCTGGGCTATAAAGAGATTTCAGAGACAGCGACTTGAAGGTCCACACATCAGGTGGATTCCAGTATCAGCAATGTGAGAAGAGAAGAGGGCTGCTCCTTCCCTGAGCTGCAGAAGAGCCAGCTTGGGGACAGACTGGACACCTGCAGGAGGAGTGGAGCACCGCAGCCGCGGGCCAGGTGACACAGCCTCACACCTGCCTGGGATCCTCACCTTCCCATGGGAGAGGAAGCCAGTGAGGGAGACACTGCAGATCAGGGCCCTGAAGAAAGCAGAAGACTCATCCTAGGACGGTGAAGGGTGACCAGTGCTCCCTTGGGAGAAAAGGAGCAAAGGCACAGTTGGGCCCTGACCTCAGGAGACGGCAGGACAGTGAGTCCAGGCCAGGCAGCGTTGTGACCAGAAAGCCCCACGGGGGGTACCAAGGTGGCCAGCCCCACCCTTCCCTGCTTTGCACACCTGCACCCCTCCCCACGGCCACCTGCAGGGGCCAGAGCATGGTGACACCAGGGGCACTCTCATTGCCAGCGGGGCTCTGACACCACAGCAGGTGTGGGCTGGACAGAGACTCTTTGCAGGGTATGGACAGAGAATGCTGCAGGGTCGGAAAACTGGACCGCAGCAGCATGGCCAAGGGCTGTGTGGCCTGCAGACCAGAATGGCAAGGGAGCGGCCGCAGAGATTTCACAGAGGAAAGGGGCAGAGGGCAGGAAGGTGCCCCGGAAGTCAGCAGGACTGGGCACCTGACAGGCACCCCGTTCCCCCTCTTCCGACACAACTGAAGGCATTCTGTCCTAAGACAGAGGCCAGCCACGCCCCAGGGGCACCTGCCTGGCCCAGCCCTGCCTTCACAGCTGGCAGGAGGACAGCTGGTGCAGGGGAGCCCGCTGAGAACCAGGAGGCGCACCGGCCTCCCGCACTCACGCGGACTGGCGCTCAGCCCCACAGGGGCCCGGAGCCGAGGTTTCCCCATTAGTGACGCGCGGAGGCCGGCTCCCTGGTCAAAGTCAGACTGCAGCGTGAACGGGACGCAGGGCTCCTTGCTTTGGTGTTTCTGTGTATGTGTAGCTGGGTTTCCCTCTCTGTTCTTTCTTTCCTTTTCACTCATATATATGGTGCATGTGTAAGTGGAATGGAAAGTAAGAATTGATTAGTGCTTTACGTTAGATAGCATTGTTCATGGGAATATCACAGTAACCCTCAACAAAAAATTTTGAGTAGGAGCTGACCTTGCTCTCTGTCAGCAGCTAAGTGGTTCCAACCTCGTGACTGCTCCCCTCCATCTCGTGTTATACTCCTCATCCCTTTTTCCCAGCCCCAAAAGTAACCTCTCAACGCCCCCGCCTTCCATTCTAGATATAAAACTAATATCAACAAAATTCCATTTCTTTTCTTTCACCTGTTGTTCTCGTTCCTCCTTTCTTTTTTCCTGAACTATCTTCATTTTCTTCTTCCTTTTTCCTTTCTCCCCTCTCTGCAGTCCGTCCTGCTTGTCATCAGTACTACGTCAGTCTTTCTGTCTCTTACAAAGTTTGTAAGGAGCCAGTGGAGACCTAGAATAGCCAAAGCAATCCTGAGCAGCAAGAGCAAAGCACGTGGCATCACAACTCAAGATTTCAAGCTATATTACAAAGCTACAGTAAGGAGAACAATATGATATTGGCATACAAAAAGATTTGATCAACAGAATGTTATCAGGGATGCAGAAACAACCTTGGGGAGACCGTCAGTCATCTGATGTTAACAAAGGGACCAATAACATATGCTGGAAACAAGATAGCATCTTTAACAAACAGTTCTGGAAAAACTGGTCACCCACATGGAAAAATCAGAACCTAGAGTCATAGCTCTCATCTTGTATTAAAATCAAATCAAAGTGGATCAAAGACCTAGATACAAAAAGAGGCACATTTAATCTACTGGAAGATAAAATAGGTAAAACTTTGGAAGACACAGGCATAGACAAGGACTTTCTGAACAGAACCCCAGTGGTACAAGAGAGAATACAAAGAATCAACAAAGGAATCACATCAAATCTACACAGCAACAGAGTGAAAAGACAACTTTCCTAAGTTGTAGGGGATTCTAGCAGCTACTCCGGAGACAGAAGACTAATATCTGGACTACACAGAAAAAACTCAGAAAAACTGAACTCCCTCCCCCAAAAAGACCAATAAAAAATGAATAGACATTTCTCAAAAGAAGTACGTATGCCCAGCAAATACACTCCAAATTGCTCAGCATCTTTGGTGAAAGAAATGCAAATCAAAACAATACATATTCCTTCCTACTCTAGAAAGAATAGCAATTATCATCCAGCACTCGACAAACAACCAAATGGACAAGGCTGTAGGGAAAAGGGCCCCTCTGTGTTGTTGGAACTAATGCGAACTAGTTCAACTACTATGAGAGTCATCCTCAAAAAACTAGGACTAGAACTCCCGTTTGACCTAGTTATACTCCCCCTAGCGGTTGGTCATCCTTGTGTTCCTAGCAGCACAGCTGACATTAGCTAAATCTTGGAACTGGCCCATATGTCCATCTGCAGACGAGGGGTGCTGCGGTTTACACCCAGTGCCTCTTCGAAGCCTCCCACACTCACAGGTGGGACTTCTGGGCTGGCTGGATCCTGGGTGTGACCCTGGGTTAGGCCACTGATTGGTCTGACACAGTCTGTGCATGGATGATGGACTCACTGAGGAGGGGAGACATGCCTGGGTATGGACGGCTCCAACCAGTAGGCTTGGAGCTGGATGAATAAAACAGGAAAGAAGGGAGGCTTCCCACTTGCCACACCATGAACTGTTTGCCTTCTGCAATGTCCCTCTGCCGTGCTGCCCTGCCTAGGAGCCAGCTGACTGTGGACTGAAACCTCTACAAACTGCGAGACAAAAGACTTGTGAGTGTTGGGTATTTTGTCCCAGCAGTGATAAAGTACACTGGGTGGTGCCATACAATGTGGTAGGTATGCAGCATGGTGTGCTACTGACTCATAAAGATGGATGCATTTTAGTCATTTGTGGGAAAACAGATGACTCGTGAACAGTGCTGCTAATGAAATAAATTCGACACAGAAGAGTTTTTCTGATGTGGAAAGCTCAAATATAAATAATTTAAAGAGCGAAATGAAATAGAGATGAGATAGGTAGACTCTGTGGGATGGGAAGAGGATTTGGGGAAGGAGGGAGGTGGAGAGGGGGGTGGGGGGTTGTAAAACCAGTCAAAATGTGATGTGTCCATTCCTCCAGAACAGTGCAATTATTATGTATTGCAAATCTATATTAATAAGAATAAGACTGATGCTCATAGACAGAAGAATAAAGCTCGAGGGAACTTTTTCGAGGGAGAATTAGTGTTTTGCTTTGTATTATTTAGTGCGACACTTCTACAAATGTTCGGATTCAGGGCACTCCTGTTCTTGCCACAGTGCAGCTTCCGGAATCGGCAGAAGTCAAGCATCGCAGGGCCGTCTAAGCACCGTGAGGTGAGTCCCACACGGATGCACCCGGACTGGGCAGGTAGGATGCGCTGGGGGGGCTGCTGGTGGTTAACACACAAGATGGGAACAGACCATTTAGAGACAAGGTGAGAGGAACAGATCTTTTCTTCCCAGGCAGAGGCTTGTGCTAGAATTTTGTGGCTCTTCAAGGATGATCTCACTGCAAATTTGGATTTAAGTTTTGGCACAGCATCGTGAGGTTGACAGAGCACTTGGGTTTTTTTTTTTTTTTTTTTTTTTGGCTTTTTCTTTTTTATCAGTACCGGGGATTGAACTCACGACTGCCTGCTTGCAAGGCAGGCCCTTATGCCACTGAGCTAAATCCCCAGAGTCTTATTCCTCTCACACCTGACATCATTCCTAACTCCTGTGTCTGGGGGTGATCATCTGTGCATAGAACTTTGCAACTTTTTAGACAGAGTCTCGCTATGTAGTTCAGGTTGGCCTTAAACTTACAGCAACCCTCCTGCCTTGGCTTGCCAAGCGCTGGGATTGCGGGCATGTGCCACCATGTCTGCATGCTTGTAACGCTTATAGCATGTTCACTTTCTTCCTGGAGTTTTGGCTGCCTGAGTACAAAGCAGTTAAGTTTACCACACTGTTTTTAGTATGCTGAGTATATCTGTAGTTCTACTTGTGGGGCTGGACTGAAGGCCATTGTATGGCTTTGCTGCAGTCATCTGTGCATCAAAGAGGCAGGGGAGAGGAGCCGAGGCACTGATGTCAAGGCCACTCTGCCCTCAGGCAGCCGCTGTTTGTGCGTGGTTACAGCAGTGTCAGCACCACACTCTGCCACTCAGAGTGAGCCTCTGAAGTGTATCAAAAGTGACTCGGCCCTGCTCCCTGCAAGAACTTGGGCGCTGACAGCAGAGCAGGAGCGAACAGAGGTCAGGCCTCATTCCTGATGCTGTGGCCAGCCAGGCGGGGCCCCTGCACGGATCTGCTGGGCAGGACCTGGGGCATCTGCCCCTGGCCAGGGAGCCAGCCGGTCTCGGGTCCCTGCGGAGGCTGAGGCTGCTCTGGGCCGCTCCAGTTCAGTAAGTCTGCACTGTAATTCCCCCAGCTCTCTGGTACTAGTGGGAGCACACAGAGGACCTGCCCACTGACAGCTTCTCTCTGAGACCCCCAAAGCCCTGTGCTGTTCCCTCAGGATTATTACAACAGTCCACACACTGAGAGGGTGTGCGGGGGTGGTGGTGTGTGTGTTGGGGGGTGACTTCCGCGTCTGCATTGTTGCAGAGAACAGAAGAAACATCCGTGTCATTGTCCAGTCCTCCTGGGGGTTGGACCCAGTGCCTTTCAGTAAGGTGCCTACCAGGGACACCTTCGCTTTTTATTTTTAATTTTGAGAGAAGGTTTCCCTGAGTTGTTCATCTGCCTGGTTGGGTTCACACTTGAGGACTTCTTGCCTCAGCCTCACCCAATTGCGTGTCGCCATGTCCAGCCATGAATAGATTTTTCAAAAAGTGTGAACATTTTTTAAAAAATGGCAACCAGGGATGGATTCAGAATATGCTTTGCCACATTTGTTAATTTAGGGCTTCTTTTGTGGATCCTAGAGAAGGGGTAGAAAGACAATCCCCCGGACAGTGATCAGGCAAGAGCCCACGGCCTGGGCTCTTCTCTAATGGACCTGGTCTGGCTGCGGGGCCGTGCGTGTGTTGCTTGTGTTCTTAGTCCAATGAGAGTGTTACCAACGCTGCTAAGCACCAGCCACATGCTGAGCATGGGTGCCTAAGACCATCATTCTACTTTACAGATGAGAAGAACGTGAGCCGTGGGTGCACTTTCCTATGGCCACAAAGCTCTGTGACCACATAACCCTCGATCTGTGTGGAACTAGGCACCGTGGGCGTTCCCCCCGCCCCCCCAGTCCTACAGATCAGCTATACCCATTAGCAAAGATCTCCTCCAGCTCTAGAAACTACTTTTGTCTCTCTTGCCTGGGAGAAACAGTAGCTCTTCCTCTCTGCTGACCTGAAATTCTGCCCTGTCCTCTCGGGCTGGAGCCCTTCCTGGAGACACACTGTGATGCACGGAGTGGCAGACAAGGTTCCTCGTGTGGTCCATGCCGGGACACTGGGCCTCTTGCTTCGTAAAGGATCCTGCAGCTGCCGGGAGAAAGTGGGAACCTGTCTCCACGGACAGCCCCAAATCTAAGATTCCGAGAAAATGAGACAGGTGGACATTGCTTGTGCCCAGCCTCTGAGGTTGAGTCCACAGACTTTCAGCACCTCCCTACTTTGGGAAATTCTTTGGGCCGGGTATCCTACCCTGCACTGGTGCACGAAGCATGTTGTGGAACTGACACAGATCCTCTCTTCCGCCTGGAACACGACTTTCTCCTTTCGCCTAAAAAGGAACATTAGCAGCCGGCAGCATGAGCCTGGCTTGCTTAGGGAGCACCCAGGAGCAGACCCTTCACTGGGCCAGGACAGATCAGTGTCCTCATTACCAGCTCGATTTGGTGGGTATCTGAGCCGAGTCTCCCCTCTTCCAGGAAGGAAGTTCCAGGCCTCTGCTTTTAGACACTATTTCTACATCTGGGCACTGGACTGGCTCCAGGAGGTGTGGAAGGTGGCCTGACCCATCTGTGGATGGATGAGAGACTGCACTCATGTTAACGTGAGGATGGGAGGCTGAGGAGAAACTAGAGGAGCACTGTCTGCTGGCTCCAGGGCAAATGAGAAAAACAAGGACAAATCTTTGCTCGTGGCCTTACAGAAGTGTTGCAGTGCTGTAGCAAAGGTTTTCTTCATCTTGGGAAGGCAGAGGAATATTCTGGGAGGAACTCAGCTGTGTTGGTGAGACAAGGAGGGATGCATGGCAGAGCTCACAGGAGGGGTCAGGAGTTGCCTTGGTATGGCCATTACTGGGCAATGGCAGAGCGTGTGGGACAGGGCAGGAGGGGGCTGCTGACACAGGGCAGGTATCAGGTGCCTCAGGCCTCAGAGAACTTAGGTGCCATGAGAGTTGCAAAAAGCTCCAAAAGCAGCCAGAGGGAGACTGGAGCCCTGCTCCAGATTGCACTGCTGTAGACTTGGAGTAGGCAACAGCCAGCTCCTCTGAGGGTGCACGCCTCAGCAGGCACCGAAGCATGGTATGTTTAAGGGTGTGTTTGGACCCAGTTATTGATTTTAACAATCGCTCCCCTCTCCTCAGGGTTGAGTGGTGGCTCTCTCTACACTGAGCTCTTGCACCCTGACACTGCATCTTCCTGAGCGGGGGTGGCTGATCTGTGCCCCGCCTCCTGGAGTCCAGACCTGGCAGCAGCTGTCCTTCGGTGTGTCCTCCTGTGGTTCTGCATCTTTCCATCTGGAGCAAAGAGTTCGGTCAAACATCAGCTGTTTATTCAAATAAGCTAATGTTCCTTTGTAACGGTTTGTAAATATAATGCATATTGGTTGAGAAAGTGCAGCAATAAATGCATAATGGGGGGGCTGGAGATTTAGCTCAGCGGCATAAGCGCCTGCCTTGCAAGCAGGCAGTCATGGGTTCGATCCCTGGTACCAGTAAAAAGGAAAAAGACAAAAAAAAAAAAAAAAAAAAAAAAGCATAACGATTCAAAGCAAGAATCTTCCCACCTAGAAACAACCAGAATGCTAACTCCTGTTTAAATGTATGGCTTGGATTTATTTCCAAGCTAGTGAATAAGTATACATCACTCTTTTTAATTACCGCACTTGGTAATTACCACCAGTCCTTGAAACCAGGTTTTAAAACCAGCCTGCCTCTGCCCAGATTCTATAAACAGAGTATGAGATGACACTGACTCCTGTTTGTTTCCCTGGGAGGAGCAGCCCTGGGCGGTGGGAAGCAGTAGAGGAGAAGTATTGGGCCTGGAGACCTTGGGGGCGAACCTGTTCCCCGCAGAGACACACAGAGAAGTCAGACCTCCCGGCTCTCGGAGGGAGGCAGGAGAAAGAATTCCTTGCCATCTCCTCCTCTTTTCTCCTACTGCTCAAAGGAAGTTCACCCAGATGGCTCAGAAGCGTCCCTAGAGTGAGTCGGAAGCCCAAAGTCCCATGTTGTTGCTGACCGCTCCCTAAGCAGATCCTGACGTAGTTTTCTCACCTATGAAGCCTGAACAGCAGGATCCACTTGCGGAGCTGCTGTGAGCCTCGTGTGTCTGGGTGCGTAGAAGTGTGACAGCCATCTACCCTTGCTCTGTGCCTTTCAAGAGATGTGGGAAATATGAAGGCTACTTTTTTATTTTTTTGGTCTTTTTGATAGGGTCTCTGTGCAGTTCAGGCTGGCCTTGAGCTCACTTTGTAGCCCAGGCTGGTCTCGAACTTGCAATGATCCTCTTGCCTCAGCCTCCTGAGTGCTGGGATTATACCATGCCTGGCTAGAAAGACTGCTTTTAAATACTTTGTATCCTAGTTTATTTTTATTCTAGTTTAAAAGTAAGATCTATTTTTACCTTAATTTTTAAAAAGGATGCAGTTTTTACTGGAATTTGGGGCATGTGATATAGTCACTGCCAGTCTAACAGGGGCTTGATGTAACACTTGGGTTGAAGAGGCAAATCTAATTTTGGATGAGCAGGTGTCTGAAGAGGTGTGAAAAGGATCACACCAGCCTGTACCTGCCAGGAACACCTGAAGGAGGAGACCTGGGTGGCCTGCAGCAGCACCTGTGGGCAGCTCGGGCTGTGAACCCCACCAGCTGTGCCCTGAGGCTTCCCTGCTCTGCCCCCAGTTCACCATGATTGGCTGTGAGTGATGCCAGGGTGTCGGAGGCTCAGTATGTCCCTCAGTGCTCAGCTCTGGGCTCCGAAGGACTGAGATGCGGCCTGAGGCTGAGGCAAAGATGTGCTGTGACCACCACTCCCTGAAACAGCTGGAAACACAGGCCCGAGGAGAAGCAGGTCACCAGAAGACCTTACACCAGAGTGGTAGAGGATCTGCAGTGAGAGCTGGCCGGGCCCACGGCAGCGGGGGCTGGAAGTTCATCTCTGTCTGTGGTTTGACATAATCTCGGTTTCAGTATCTCTTCAAAGATCACCTGTAGAGCCTCCCACAGAAGGCTGGAGGTCAGAGCACCAAGGCTGTGGGGTAGGCTGCCACGACTCCCCTGTGAAGGGTGCAGTGGTGATTCCAGCTGCAGCGCCTGCAGCAGATGCAAACAGACACCATGCTGCAAGGCTGGCGTTGCCTGAGCTCTGCGTGCCCTCACCGCCTCCCTAGTGGGCACCGGGAGCCTGTGTAGGTGGGTGCAGGTGACAACACTGACCTGGCCACTGCCCCCAGAGGTGAGCACCACCTAAAGGCTCCATTTCAGCTTCACCCTAGACTGTCGGCAAACAATTCCACATTTAGTAAGTTTCCTCCTTCTCCACAGGGAGGGCTCCTGAAGATTGTGGTCAAAGGACAAAACACATTTGATAGAACTGTGGGGGACCGGCGGCGGCTGAAAAGATAAGAAGTATGAAATATAAATGACCTTTATTTTGAGAATGTGGGAAGAGACACCCCCGACCCCCTGGGGCGTGGCATCTCCACCCCGGGGTCTGCGATCTCTCCTTGAAACACGTGGAGTGAGGCACATAAGTAGCCTCGGTTTGAAAGGGGGCATTAGGGATGCACAAGTAGCCCATTGGTCTTTGTTTGGTGCCACAGGTAAATTCCTAGGGGTGGGGGAGATAGGAGCTCCTTGGCTTTACCAGCTACAGTGTCCTGTCTGGGATAAAACCCTTTCAACATTCTCTCTGCACCTCAAATGTTGCTTTTCATTTATTTTTCCTATTTTATGAAAATATAAAACAAATTTTCATAGTTGAATAGTAAGAGTGCAAGACATAAACCCAAAAGATTCTTACAGAAGAGAAGCAGATAATGACACAGATTTTCTTTGCAATGAGCTAAGATGAGCTATCAGTGTAAATGAAGCGCACTGGCATAGATGCTGAATTATTTTTAAAGCAACAGAGCATGTAATTTGGGGAAGCTTTGAGCTCCCTGCTTCCTGTTTTTCTTTTTTCTGTTTTGCTCTGGTGTTTGTCATGTACGGGAAGCCGTGTGACCCTGAAGCCCACGTCTGACCTGTTTCACTTAACATTATGTTTTCAAGTCGCATGCATTTCCCTATGAATGCCTCAAGGTTATCTTTCCTTACGGGCAAAGATTGTGATCCATTTCTACTAGTGATAGATTAGGAAGGAAAGTCTTCCCGAAAGTGTATAATGAAGAACCAATGTCCTTAACATGAAAAAAACAACAAGAAAAACCTGCAAAAGACTGGAACAGGGAACTCACAGAACATAATAAAATGGCCCAGAACTATATGGAAAAATGCTTTCATGTCTCTCAAGGAACAGATCTCTTAATATCTCTTCAGTAGAACAGTAAGAAAACCTTTGTTTTGAATATTGGCAAACAACAACCGCACAAAGGCTGAGAATCCTCTGGCCTGTTTCCTGATCGATGTGTTTGCTGAGGCTGTTAATACTCTGGTTGACTGGATATGTGGGACCAGGCTGGAGGTCATGTGTGTTCCCCGCTCCAATAGCACCAGTGCCTAAGAGAAGGACCCCCGGGGAGAGGCTCAGAAGGCTCTGAGTCCGGTGGCTGCTCTGAGATTTCCTCGGTGACCTTGGGTGTAGACTTTCAGTGCCTTATTCTGCATCTGAATTTACGGAGGATGTGACCTACTTTTTCCATGTCTCAATGAAATGTGATCAAGATTAATGGCCTAACACAGAAAATATTTCCAGTGCCTTGAATGACCAGACTCATTACTCAGTGCCTGAGCTAATAAATCTGGTAAAAATCAGTCGAATTCCCTTAATTCAGGAAAAATGCTTGCTTGAAACCATGCAATTTTAGAAGTGAGTCTGTATAAAACTGATCTCATTTAGAATTTCTCAAAGTGTCCTTCAAGTCGATGGTGAAATCAAACTTAGAGAACTGGTTACAGCTGGAGGACATGAACCGAGAAGCCAAGAAGCTTGGCTTGGTCTAGAGGGGTCCACACACTTCCTGCACAGGGCTTCGCCGCCCCTGGAATGTGTCAGTCTCCAGACGCTACAGAAAGGTTTTCTTGCTCAAACTTTTAAGCTTTTGTAGTATAACACACTTGTTTTTCTAACATAAACTAAAATGTTCAGGGTTTTTGCTTCTGCATCTTTTATATCTTTATAATAAATGAAAAATCTCTGTACCTCCAGGCTCTTTTTTTCTGCTTATAATTTAAACTACACACATTCCTGGTCTGAACTGTGTTTGTTGAGTGTATCCCTGTAAAGGCAGTTATGTTTCCATCAATGAGGGACAGCCTTGGAGCTCCCCGGGCCCCATCCTGGAGCCTGGGTCGGGCCTGCCCGTCCCCATCAATACCAAGGTGTCTCCCACGCCATAGGTGACACTCTGGCAGTATCACTCTATATTTAGCTAATTCACTCTCACTGGTCTGTTTCACCTTACAAATGAGACAGCCGAGGCTGGGGGAGGTTCAGTGATTCACAAGCTGATTAGCATATGTTATTGGTCACTTTCTTCTTAAAAGAACTGTTTTCCTCTATGTTAAATATTGAAGTTTGCTTTCAGTGTTGGAATGCCTCCCATCTCTCCTTTCGGTCATTTTTAAAGGATGATTAGAACCTTGTCCCTCGTCTGCTTGCAACTTTGAATGGGTTCTCAGCGCCTGGAAGAATGCTTTTCAAACTGTGGTCTTCAGACGGGGATGCACTGAGGTCAGGTCCCACCCCAGACCCTCTGAACCTGAGGCTGGCGGGCTGTGCCTCCTGGGTGATTCTGATGCACGGGAATGCCTGGGCGCCAAGGGAAGTTTGAGACCCGGGCCCTGGCTGCTGCCTACTTTCTCACCTCATCTTGCTGCCTGCTGTTTCACTCATCAAGCCGCATGTGCTTCCCCTTCCTATACCACAGCCACTTGCTGTCCAGGGGCAGAGTCACCTGGGCACTAAGCATGGGGATTCCAGAGCCTTTGAATGCTACTGCATCAGTTCCTAGCACTTAGGACCCCGTCAGATGACCTGTGCAGGATGGGGATGCAGGAAACATCTGCTCATTTGTGGTCATACGGTTAAATGAATTAATGAATTCATCAAAACAGTGCCTGTGTGCAGTCAGCATTACAGGAACACACCCTTTGTTTTTGTATTCACTGCCTGAGACCATCATAGCAAGTAGGCACAAAGCAATCAGCTTTTAAGCATCAGGAATTTCTCTTTCAGAGTTTGACATCAGTTTCTCTGGGCTGCTCGGAAGGCGTGACAGGGCTGCCTGTCTCCAGATGCAGCCAGCATTCTTCCTCCTGGGGCCCCCTCAAGCCCATCTCCGCCTTCAGTTTATCTTCTCCTTCTGTGTGTGCTATGATTTATTTTTTATTTGTAAGAATGTATCTCATTAGGGGATGGGGGTTTAGCTCAGCGGCATAAGCACCTGCCTGGCAAGCAGGTGGTCGTGAGTTCGATCCCTGGTACCGATAAAAATGAAAAAGACAAAAAAAAAAAAAAAAAAAAAGAATGTATCTCATTAGTATATATCTGTGATGCATAGTAAACACATCTGTCCTGGGGACTGGGACACATATGGACGGTAGCTTTATGCTTTTCCCTTCTCCTTCTCCTTGTCTCCCACCCACATCCTGTTCTAAATACAGTTTGCCCTCTCCCTGAACTCCTGCAGCAGCTTAATCCCTGAAGTCAGATGTTAATGGTATTAGGAGGATGAAAAACTAATCCAGTTATGGGGTTTATAGGTGGGGTCTTTGGGAAGTTTCCTATTATAACCTCTTGCAGTAGTGTGGTACATTTAGTATAACCAGTAAACCAATACTTATTCATTGTCATTAATGAAAGCCCACATTTTACTTTAAAAACCACCATTTCTTTTGTATGGAATGTGACAAACACAAAATGTCCTGTATCTACCACTACCTTGTCCTACAGTCGCTGTCCTAAAAATATCCATTGCTCCACAGGACTCTTGGCAACTACTGATCTTAATTCTCTACAGCTTTGCTTTTTCCAGAATGTCTTAGGGATGGAGCTTGTAATGGTTGATACATTGTGTCAACTTGAAAAGTTTAAATGTTTAACTAAGGGACTCAGCAGGGAGCCAGTGTCTTCACTTGATGAACATCCTGATCCTGTACAAGAGGAGAGCGGAAGATGGTGAGAGTGCCACAGCCACCCTAGCCAGTGGTAGCCTGTTTAAAATAGGAAGGAGGAAAAGAGGCTCGCTCTCCTCCTCCTTTTGGGCTTGCTGCTTTTGCTGTCTTCTACCGCCTCAAACTGTTTCTGCTGTGCCATGACAGCCTGCCTTGGAGCCAGCTGATTACAAATTGAAACCTCCACAAACTGTGAGCTAAATAAACCTTTCCTTGCTTCATTTTGGGCATCAGGTATTTTGTCCCAGCATAGAAAGAAAAGTAACAAACACAGAGCTATACAGAGTATATGCTTTCAGCTTGACTTCTTTTACTTAATATCGTGCATTTAAGTTCCTCCTACATCTTTTTGGCTTGGTAGCTTATTTCTCTATTTTTTAAAATTTTATTTTGAAAGTAGTAAAATGCAGACAATGCAGTGAAATTGGTATAGGATTTCACAGTAGGATACTGGGATAATAGTAATAGGTATTATGGTGTATCTCCTTAACTTCACAATAGTTGTCCAGTCAATTAGGTATAGCAAAATCAAACCAAAAATAGAACATTATAAAACCGATTGAGAGTACTGAATAGAGCAAAAGAAACATAACAAAACAAAACAGTGAAAACAACCTTTGCCTTCGAACAGAATAGAGAAGGAAATCCCCCATATTTGCTATACTGCATATGGTCATCCTCCCCAGAGATGCTGAGACATCTATCCCCAGTAGCTACAGGGGTGGAGGGCCGGAGGGGGAAAGGTGCTTGATTTTCAGCCTGCATGGCAGTAGGCTCACAGGTAATGGTTCTCCTCCTGGCCCAGGCCACAGTCGCTTACCAGGAGGGCAGGTGAATAAGCTGCTTGAGTCCCACCATGGCTGGATCTCGGGAGCTCTAGAGCTTATTTCTTTTTAGCACTAATATTCCAGTGGCTGAATGTGCCACAGTCTACCCATTCACCTACTGAAAGACGTCTTGGTTGTATTCAAAGTTGGGCAATAAATAAATAAAGCTGTTATAAACATCCACATGCAAAATTTTGGTTGGATGTAAGTTTTTACTTCCTTTGGGTACATTCCAAGGGCTGCGTCAGATGGGTGAGGCTATGTTTAGGAATTGCCAGAACAGCTCTCAAAGTGCTTCTGCACTCCTCTCAGGTCTTCTGAATCTCGATAGCACCGGATGTTCTCAGTGTTCAGATTTTTGCTACCCTGAAAGCTGTACAGTACACTTTGTTGCTAGTTTTCCTAGTGACCTGTGATAGCCACTACCTTTCCACGTGCTCCTTTGCCATTGTACATCTCCCTGGGTGAGAGTCCAGGCAGGTCTCCTGCCCACTTTTTCACTGGCTTGTTTACTTTTTTGTTTTTATAATTGGTGTCTATGTGGGGATGTTACTCCTTCACTCAATATGTATTCTTCAAATATTTTCTCTATTACATACCATGCCTTTCTATCTCTTGGCAGCATCTTTTGGAGAATAGTTTTTCATTTTAATATAGCTCAGCTTACCAACTTTTTCACTTTTGGTACTGTGCCTAAAAAATCATTGTAAAATCAAAGTTCATCTAGAGTTGTTTAAACTTGTTAAATCACTATATGGATATTTGCTTAGATAAAACAGATTTACTGACATTTGCTACTCATGCCGTCTTTTAGAAGCCTTTCACCTTCATGTTTTACTTTTGGATTTATACTCTGTTTTGAGTGTGTTGCTATGCTTTTATTGTTCCTCCTGTGCTATCTGACTTTCTTGGAGTTGAGGGTTATGTCTTACCTGACTTAGGTGGGCATCTGGAAAAACCAAAGGTGTGGTCTTCGTCTTGTTCAGTACCTTGGCCATACTCAGGTTCATCAGTGGGGTCCTGTGTGTGGGCCTCCTGGGGCACACTGCGCACAGCTGCTTCCTCCGCATCTGCCACTGTCGACGTTGTGCATGAAGGTCTCGGAGTGTCACAGGGCCGTCTCATTTAAAGACTAAGAAGAGCTGATGTTTTTATTTTCATTGAAGTGGGGTTTACATTTTACAACAGAAACCTTATGGGAAGGGGTCATGGTTGGGTGCAGAGTTGTTGGGAGCGGTTAAAACTGGAGATGGATCACACTATGGGGCTAAAGCAAGGCCAGTCCTGAGAACACACAGAGCCCAAAGTAAGCCAGGTAAACAAACCATTTCAGATCCAAGAAGGCAAAGGGCCCAGGCCAGCCAGGCAAGCAAGTTACTAGGTAACAGGGTTGAAGTTAACATCATCCTACTGAGTGTATAAATAAATGTACCACAGTGATCAAGCAATTCCTTCTGTTCCATCAGGAGAGAAGGCTCCACCTGACCTGTTTTCATCTCTTTTCTTGATTTTTCCACCCTCTCACTGTCCTTCCCCTTGGGAATATATAGACCTGCTGGGGTCACAGCAAATGGTACCTAATCAGTGATGGGGTGAAACATACAGGGCAAAGGGACTTTTCTCATCGGTATGCAACAGTGGGAAGAAGTACATTGGTATAGGCCAGTATTCATCACTGGTGTGTATTGATATTGGCTTCATCAGGTGTAAAGATTGGGGTATTGAAAAAAGTAGATTCTCTATGACCACAGTTATAAATGGGCTTTTGAGAAGCAAAAAGAAGAAGGAGGAGGAGGACGAGGAGGAGGAGGAGGAGAAGGAGGAGAAGAAGAACAACAAGAACAAGAACAATAATAAGAACAAGAACAAGAACAAGAACAATAATAAGAACAAGAATAAGAACAAGAACAAGAATAAGAACAAGAACAAGAACAAGAACAAAAATAAGAATAAGAATAAGAATAAGAATAAGAATAAGAATAAGAACAAGAACAAGAACAGCCAAAGGCAGATAAATAGGCTTGAGAGAAGCCAGAGAGACACACAGGCTTAAGAGAGTTCAAGAGAAAAATAAACTTATTGTTGTAGCTTGGCATAACTGATGCCATCTTAAGCCCTGCATTTAACTGGTGCCCTGCATTCAGGAAAATGGAAAA